AGTGCGCCCTATTTTCAAAAAACTCTTCGCTAGTGATTCGAGGTTTTTCACATTTAAACGCAGGTATTAATTCCGACCGTTTTGTAACTAACTATGATTAGGGGCACTCAAGGTGTGGAGAACTGCTCCATTTTTTCCGTGTTCAGAACTATTATTGAGAACTGACCCCACTGTAGAAATCGACGTTGACACAGGCTGGACTTTCAAAGCACTTCTTCAGGCAATCTCCTATGTTGGAATTAGAGTGACCAGAGAGCGGCACGACACCAATTACGACAGTCCCAGCTTGAAGTTCGATGAATGTGCAGAGAAGTGCCGGAGTTATCTGAAACAAAAAAATCTGTGCTATTATTTTCCTTGCAGGATTACTTTTGCTTTCTTTTCGAGGCTTATCACTTGTCGTACTGCTTAGAATAAGGAGCACAGTTTTAGGGAAGAACAACTTCAAGTTTATGTTCCACTTTATTTGGAGAGGGTCTGGCTAGTGTCAACTGTGTAAATCGACCGAGACCGCAAGCGAGCCTTTCATTTTCAGAGCAACACTTTGGAGCTATTCGGAGAGCATCAGTTCACATACCTGCGTGAAAAGCATGAGTGCGGCAAGTGCAGTGCCGCGTAACATGGTGAAGTTCATTGTTCCTGAAACACTGTTCGAACTCAAAAAGTCACTCTCATGGTACCAGGGGTCGTGAGGTAAACCGTTAACGATATTCAAAGGTAACATTAGCAGTCATAATTTTAGGGTAGTTCAAACGGGAAGGAACCCTGTGGCGACGTGAAACAGTGGTTTACCGCTATGGTAATTATAACAGGTATGAGTGAGCAAAACTGAGTAAAAGGGTAAAGCAATGTAAGACTTCAAGCCGTCTATCAGAAGACTGAATTTAACTCTCCGTGCAATGAATGCAAAACTTTCAAACCTCGGGATGCACGATTTTGACGCTAAGGGACTTTTCACGGCTACTTTAACCCAACTAACACATCTGGTGCAACAAAACTGTAAAAGATCTACAACTTTAGTGGCTGGATTGAGGGGTTGCTAAATGGCTAACGCTAATCAAATGCAAGTCGGAGGAATGCTGCCTTCCACGACTGGACCTCACTGGTACACGTATGGAGTACCGTAACATTTCCTCACATGTGGCTTCTTATTTCTTAAAAAATCGCTTACGGCAACGCACGAAAATTTGCTATACTAGCTTGGAAGTGGGATCGAACCGAGGAAGTTAACTGGAAACGGTTGTTTGGTCGTTGCGCTATGCGTCGCTATCTCAGTAGGGCTTCAACCATGGCAATGGATACGGGAGGACCATTGAGAGGTCAAACGTCCAAGAATAGGTACCATCTTTGGAAGAAAAAAGTCGAGCTCTTTTCTCGGGAGTGATAGAACAGAGTGATAAAAAAAGGTAGCAAATTTTTTTGACGGAAGAATTTGTAGAAGCCCATACAGGTATAATTAAATTACCGGTGCTGAGCTTCAGCGTTTTAAAGAATCCTCCATTAGGACCCACGATTGAGCATTGCCCCGCGGCTGCGTGGAAGTTTGACAACCAGCTACCTTCTCCAGCACCAACATTTTTATAGGCGAGAGAGTTGATTGGCCCTTTGGCAACGAAATTCAGCTGGTGTTAGTCGTCAGCCACATTTTTGCCCTTTAACAATTTCATGGACAATTTGAACTGGAGTTTGTGTGAACGGATAGTCAGGAACAGAAATACCCTTCAGTTTCCCGCGGGCTCCTAAATCCCCCTATGACCACAACATCTGAGTAATCGTTTGGTAGCCTAGTGTTTTACCAACTGACCCAATAAGATAGTGTTGGGGAGATGCCCTAATGAAAAGGGGAAAGCGAAGAGAGCCCCAGGCAGGCCGACCAGCCAGTCTGAAAGATGCTACCGAATGATGCTAGCTTCGATGGTTGGTAGCTATGCCATTGAAGATTTCCTATTGAAAAGGATTTTTTTTGCTATGGCATTGCGGGCCCTTATTTTTATTTCCATGAAATTCCATTGTTTGCCCAAGTCACCAAGCATTTCTGTGAAAAGGAGCTCTCATCGCCATAGAGACTCCATTACTTCCATCGCCTAGCATTTCGTGGAAAGATGGGGCTGTAACAGCAATAAATGAAAGGCACCATCAAGAAATGTACAAAATACCGTGTATATTCCCAGATGATTCTTTGAGTGATAAGACTTGATATCGTGTGATAGAGCTGCTGACAGTTTTCCGTAAAAAAAGTTTAAACATTTGGCCTAAGCTTTTTCAAGCGGAAATCAGCAGAGCGTGATAAGTGCCGAAAGCTTAGGCCCAACCAAGGTGGAAATCGCACTGAGGAAAGGGTCGCTCTTTACGCCTCCCCCCTCAAAGTAGGTCCCAACACCACACTTTTTTACCCCCGCAAATGCGAAAAGTTCTTATCCAAAAACCTCAACTTCGGGTGCATGAGAGGTAAGCAGCGCTGCTGCCACGCGAATGCTCGGCAGTTCAGATCATAAACCCAGGCTGACTTCTTCCTTTATTCTTTCAAGACTATCCAGTCTATGCTACTGGACGGGTAGTAGAAAGGAGTACGGCCTAGAAGCAGCTGAACTATCGCGCTTCAGTGTAGAATTTTAGTCCCTAATCTACGCAGAGCTTTTTTCAAGCACGTATAATCTCGAGTTGTAGACTTCGTGAGTCTGTCGAAGATGTTGAACTTTCTTCAGTGACCACCTTTTGAAAATCTGAGAGACCTGCTAAAGGGAGAAGACTCACGCTTCCTGATAAGTGCAGTTGCGTTTTGCATGTTTTCTGGTGTAAGCTGTTTGCGTCGAGGATCCATTGAAGAAGCTTTCAAAGCAATCGGAATTCTTATAACTCCATCGCCGATATGAGGAAATCCTTACAAAGTGATCACACTGATTCCAGGATTCATTTTCACATGATTTCAAAGGCGTAGATAGAAAATGATACAACTGACGAACGGTCTATTCCGTTTCGTCTTTCGTTCGGGTATACGCCATTCAGTGGTTACACCCAGAGTTATTTGTAAGGAGTTTTGCTTATAATCCAACTCACTTGCACGAAACTGACCTTTCCAACTTTGTTCGATTTATGACGCACTTGCGACTGCAGTGGGGATGGTGTCTCTAAGGCCGCGAAACTTTTCGTTTTCTGCTGATCCTGCTCCTCCACTAAGTTCCTAAAGCGTCTACGTTAATTTGGAGTTGATATTCTGCATTTGTTAATTCACGATCCTCTGCAAGACGCATTTTCTCACTGTGTCGCCGTGCTGATCACCACCGGCCTAAACAACGAGCACCTTCCATTTGAGTTCTCATTTCAGACAGTACTAGAATACCATTATGCTTTACTCCAATGAAAAAAAAACTTGTGACTCAGTGATGGCACGAGCGAGTGGCAGCAGAACCGCTGTGTCCGTCGTCGATCCGTACCCTTACGACCCCCTCACCTCCCTTCGCAGCAACCCCTGTCGGGACTTTCCTCGAAGATTGTCTTTATCAGACCATCAGTGTCACTTCGCTCTGTTATGTTTGAAGGCAGTGATCACTACGGCAAGAGAGGCGGTGCAGTTTTAAACATCACTGAATGTCAATGGCGGGGGAGGGGAGGGCTTAAAGGACGGTACCAGTCACAATCCCAGTGACCTAGTTGACCAATATCATTCAATGACGTCATGAAAACCGCACGGCTCTCAAACCACGTGAGCGTCTAAAGGAGGAGCCCACGAAAAGGACGATTCCACGGATAAGGATAGAAGTCGAAGAAGGGGAAGCTTACCTAAAGGAGAGCAGGGCGGACCTCCTAAGGGTACGGACCGACACGTGATTGCATCGAAGGATATGCTCCAGCGATTTAGCATGGCCTACCAGTGGCGCAAAATAGGCGCCTGTGCGTTCACCGCAGTGATTAACACTTCCGGCGAGTCTCTAAGCGTAATAGCAGCGTAAGCGTTGAAGTGGCAGAACGTTGATAGTCGCATCATTGTGGCAATCTATAAGCAAATAGAGGCCCATTTCTCGGGTTCCGAGCATTTTCCCAGTTTTTTTTCTTTTTTTTTTCGGATCACTGATCATCTCGATAGGGCTGCCTCTTCATCGTGAAATCGACCTTTGACCTTCGGACGCTTTAGCGAATGCTAGAGAGTTCTGTTCGAGGTAGCCAATCTTCTCAAACATGAATACCTTCTCATCCATCCCTAATTAGCGCTCCTCGGCATCGGAGTTGTCAAAGTGGATGGAAGCGCGACCTATTAGAATTTTGGACACTGCAAACCCTTTACGGTCCAGCCCCTGAAACTGACTTGTGAGCCGAATTTAGAACGAGATTTTTTCATGACTAAAGGATTTGGCTGTAAGATTGTCCCCAGAGGTAATTTAACCCGCAGAACACGAATAGGACATTAGTTCAGCGCCTGCGCAACAAGCGCTGGTCCTATAACATTAGTTTTGGGCTGCAAAGCTACTTGTGAGTCGTGTTGGGGCTGAAGGCGACAAGTCATCGATAGGAAGGAACACGATGTTATCTCAAGGATCAAACTGCCAGTCTGACGAGAATCTTCGCGGAAGTTGTGACAAAGGTGTTCCGGTTGTCTTTTTGGCGCCGTGCCACTGTAGGTTGGCGGGCGTTTTCATGTAAAAAACGAATGCGGTTGGACGGAGAGCACACTAACTTCAGGAAGTCAAACTTGGTTCAAGCCAAAATGCTCAGTTATGGGAAAACTTCGAGGAAAAGTCTGCCCCAGTTTTGGTGGGAGCTGGGGCGGCAATAGCACAAAACTTCCGGCATCTGGTGACTCTTGACATGCATTGCTCAAAAGGCGTTTGATTTTGGAAAACGGAGATGTAGAGCACATAAAAAAGTTTCTCAATGAGTGATTGTCTGTGCACTTTCACGTCATTTTCCCAGCAAACACCTTGTTTGGAACACAAAAGATAAAAATTTATTGAGAGATGGAGTTACTAGCAGCCGATAAAGCTGTGCAGCCACTTGCAATGATTTTAAGCTTTCGATGGCGCGACACCGGCGAGGACTTCAGTAAAGATTTTCATTCCATCAGCGATCACTGCCATTTGTAAGGACGAACCACCGTCGATCACCAGTTGGTGGCCAACTATGTAACTCGACTTTTGCCTAAAATACAGTTTGAGAGATAAATTTCGTGCCATAACTTAAATATGAACGGCTCAGACCCGCCCTAAAGCCTCCGAAGACTCGAAGCTTCGAGAGACTTGCGATTCTGCCACAGTGGAAAACTTTGCTGAGCGGCTGCGACAAATGGAAATTCTCAACTCCACTAACTGCTGTTTCTGAGTACGGTAGCCATATCCAAAGCGCAGGGTCCGGGAAATTATTTCTTGTACTGCACTAACTAGTGGCGTACTTGGAACCAGGGTCAACCGTCCGTTCGAACTGTTCGAACGAAGGGGTCGCATTTTGGTCGGAAGGGGGTCGCAATTTCGAGGACTGCCAGCCACAGGCGCGTGCGTGGCGTATCCGAGGGCAAGACTTGCTTGTGCAGACCGCATTAGATTCGATTTATTATGCACAGAGAGAGTTTTAGGCAAATTACAGTGTTTTCTTAAGGATAAAGAACAGTTGGATGCATCCCTATGAAAGGTTTGACTTCTCGGGGCTGAAAACAAAGTTCTTTGGAGACCTATTTTTTGGGGACGCTTCTTCCAATGTACTGTGAAACATGTAAGGAAGCGGGAAATCTCGTAGTCTTCACAAATGTCTTTCCCCCTCTCCAACAAGCTCTTTGAAGGAAGTTATCATATTGCTGAAAGCTCAAAAACTCGCATGTGCTGCTCAAAAACCTATGGGAAAAATGTTCGAACGTGTGATTTTCTCGAAAAATGAACTTTGAGAAACGGTTTGGTGCTTGTTAGAAAGAGCAAATCCTGTACTTTTTATCATAAAAAAAGTGATCACAGAAATGAAAATGAAGTGAGTTATGGTCGCTGAAAGCCCAAAAACTCGCTTTTGCACGAAAAATGTTCGAACGGGACAATTTTTTGAAAAAGGGGACAATCACTAAACTTTTTATACTATTTTGTTAGAGAAATATTTGAAGTTTCTGAAACTTTTTACAGATTTCCAAAATGTCGCATACGAAAGATTTTATGGGCCTTCAAAGTTGAAGGTGCGCCTTCTTAGAATTTTGGGTTTTCCACTTCTAACAGAAGTACTTTCCGGAGAGTTAGGCAATCCTTGTAGTTTTCTGAAAGCGCACCTCAGGCACAGTCAAAATCTACCTCAACAAAGTCAAAAAAGTACGTCCCAAGAAAGTTATTCCCCTCTAAAATTTTTCTTCGCCGCGTCCCGTTCTTCCAGCGCCCGGGTGATACCTGCCGCGCTCCAAGGCTGACGCCGCAACGCAGACGCTTTCTGCGGCGGCGGCGCAGACGCTTTCTGGCGCAACGGATTCATGTCTAGCACTCTTATTAACAAAAACAGGGGGTCGCAACTGACCCCCTCGAGAGCTAGGGGGTCGCAAAAATCCCGAAAATGTTCGAACGTGACGGTTGACTCTTGAGCTGTACACACTCTAGATACGGGGACATTGTCTTGGATGCACACCGTTTAACCCAACCAGCCTTTTCATTCTAATCTGAGAGGGAGGCACATGGCTTTGTGAAGTGGTTGGCTGCAATCGCTGTAGTTTACGCCAGTTCGTTCAAAATGGTACGAGCTGATCGGCGGTCTCAAAAAAGGGATTTGATAAAATGGGATCAAAGAGTTCCCTAAAAAGGAACAGGCACTATTTATCTGACGCACCTGTCGGCCAAGAAGAGAATCGCTTCGGCGATCTCGTCAGGTGTTCCAGGACGGCCACATGGGACACGTGAATGCGATGAGGCAATTTCCTTTTCCGCCTGAAAGCTCGTAAAGAGTGGCCTTCGAGAATACGTCTATGTATATACTATTTTTCGTAACATTCACAGTGACAATTCTAGAATCTTTGACCCGACTATACAAAACTTATGTTCTGCCCCATTCAGAGTGTGGGTCTCAAATATGGAGCCCACTCACAAAAACATATCCAAAAGTTGAAGCGGTTCAGCGCACATTCACCAGAGTCGTTTTCTTAGAAAATAAAGGACTAAACTGGCGGGACTTGCCTAGCTATAGTGAACGCTTGAAACTTAGGTCAACATACTCGTGGCAGAAGAGGAATTATTTCTGATTCTTGTGTTTCTGTTTTTCGAATACTGCGCATGGAAGGTCAAGCTGACACCAAGTAAATATTGGATCTTTATGCCTGCTAGACGACGCGCTGGTGGATTCAATCATCAAGCTAAAATCCAAAACAGAAACCATGCTCAGCTTTTCAACTTCGTTCTATACCGGGCAGTTAGATGGTTTCAAATGCTACCTAGTGAGGTGTGAGTGATTAGAATTGGTTAAGAAGAGCCGAATAGATTGGGAACAGCGTGATTGTCTGAAATTCTTGTGGCTGGGCAGAATTATTATTAATTGCATTTTTACAGCCGTGATTAAAGTTCAACAGAACAGTGGTGGAAAGCCAGATTTTCCAGTATAAATAAATTTGGATTCGAGCGCTTTTGATCTCATACTGTAGTACTTCCACCTGATACCCTGAACTTCTAATCTTGGTTATTTTAATTAGCTACACATGGGCCAGCATTGGTAATTCATCATTGAATCTACTATTTAGTTGAATTGGTTCATCCAACAAGTAACAATCCTATGAGGTGGGGCGCCTTCTAGCTTTTGTTCGCCTTTTCTGCTCTAGACTGAGTCTCGATCAATTTCCCCATGTTTTGAGTAAACAATAGCCCTAGTGCAGTGTGTAGTGTAGTGCATAAGCTGCCTTTACATGAAGACACTTACATCGAAATAAAAAATAAAATGATCAAACCAGTCAACTGACTGTAAGCACCACTGAGCCAGCGGTAGGGTTTGTGTTCAGGATAATGAGATGCGACCTGCATTCGCCCTACATGCTATGGCCTCAGGCTTGGTTACCTTATTGGACAGGTAACTCTGTTATGACATATGTTTTCTACTACGAAGGTCTTTTGTCTACACCTCACAAGCAAAAAAGAGCAAAGTTATGCCTGTACCTTGCGTCCTGAACAAAACAATTATCTTGCTGGATACTCCCCCGCCATCTCATAAATGAATCATATATTCGTTGTCTGTTTTTCTTGGTATAATGGTGAGACATGTGTAGCGCCTTATCATTCGGTGTTATTATACGATATGTTCTTCCCATGATTGTGCACAAATTCGAGTGTATTAACATAAATAAATGAATAAATAAACAAATAAATAAATAAATAAATAAACACCATTTCTCAATCAAACTCGGATCAGTGTCTTTGAAGGCCTCTACTGGATCAGGCAGTGCCTACCATCTTACAATTTAGCCTACCTTTCTCACAATTTCTGCTGGGATTCCTTGCCTTTGTGCGATATTTGTCGATACAATACCAGGGCTGAAACAAATAGCCAAGATCTTTACACGAAAAATTAGTCTGTAGCAACGAATGCTAAATATTGTAACTGAATAATGGCAAAGGCGTTTGTTGTAGTCGTAAAAGGGACATTTATTTGCTCCGGCTCTGACATCCAGGTCGCAATCAGGTCAAGCAGTACGGGGAAGCGGCGTCGTCAAGTCATCCCGCGATGTCGCACGCGATTGATCTGCACAATAACTCGGTGAGTCGCATGCCCCTCCGACTCTCATCGCTATCATATGGCTGCGTGCTATCTCGCGTTCTTCATCGGTCTCCATGCTCAGCATGCGTTTCGAAACAAAGCAGCAATTTTATCGCGGGCCACGTGACAACCATATTTGTCGCTGTTACCACCGCCACACCCCGATCACTTCATGAATACAACGCTCAGCAGAACGCTGCTGCACAGTGATTGCACGGGTTCTAAGCTTCAGTCTCTGGTGACTGGGGGAGGTCTTAACTGGATGTTCTTCATGTAGGCGTCAAAAATAGTATTTTCAGGGTCTCCTAGGCACTACCTATCGGTGCACTAGAAAATTCTGTAATTTGTAGTAAACTGCTTTTCTACTTATTTACTAATTCGCGAAGCTTTCAGCATATGCTGAGCGCCGGAGAGGCTTTGCATATTTTGAAAAAATAGTTTTCTTGAGATGGGCTGCTTTCAAAGTCTCATTCAAAAAAAGTACGAGCTCAAAGCAATAGGGACCTTGCAGAGGCACCAGTATCAGACATTCCTATAGGTATTTATAGTTTAAGATTCATAATAAAGCAACATTTAGGCGATATGGGTCGCGCAGAAGCTTAAAGGAATCTTCCGCGGAAAAAGCTCCGCCTCCATTACCACAGAAAAACGATACCCCTTAGGCCCCTAGCCTCATGAGCATAGCAAAAAGAACGGAACATAAGCGTTAGTTTCGATAATACTAATCCTACACACAAGACAAAATGATCACTCTTTCCGTGGAAGATTCCTTTAAGGTATCGTTTTCTGTGGTAATGAGGGCGGAGCTTGTAGATTCTTTTAGGAAATTGGGGTACCATCCCCCTCCTGGGCTATTTAACAACCGCACTTCTACCGTTAAAAGATTGAATTCTAGGATATGCATTTATTCGACACTACTGTTACTGCTCATTTCTCACGAAATATGCTTGATTTGTTTATCGAAATTTTCCCGGGCTGAGATTGTTCGCTAAAAAGTTGCCGGGGTAATTCGACCATAGGATATTAAATATCAGCATCGTTCGGCATGGAGAAAGCCTGCGCGCTGCGCTACACAATGACACCAGACACCTTTGATCACTAAAAATCGCTGAAAAATTGTCTTCAGGAGTAGCTTCTGTAGAACATGAATGCCACATTGGTTCGTTGTGGTGAGCTTGTAGCCTGTGCTATGGGTGAGTGCACAAAATTAATGTGACAGCGCCAGCGCCTGTTGCGCGGGCGCCAAGCGTTTGTGCCAAACTGATGTGATATTCGGGTTCTACGAGTTGAAATACCCTACCTTTCTAGCCAAATCCTCAGTCACGGAAAAATTCCGACCAATATGCTCAGTTTTGAGGAGTGGGGCACAACGGGTGAATAGTGCCACATTTCAGAAGTATTGACCCATTCTTCCACTATTACACTTCTCATTACGTAATTATAAGTGCAATCACAACTAGCAGCTCACAGTAATAAAATTTTCAAAATATGAACACCAGGACAGCACTGTGCTCTTTTAGCTAACTCACCTAACTCCATTCACTCGAACACCTTTTTGAATATAGTAAATGGCGAGATTACGGGTCAATTGGTCCTGTGCCGCTTTAGCGATACTGTAGAACGCGGACGGGATTGACTGAAAACACATTATCTAGGTATTAATTCAATAATTTTTGGAATTATATATGGAGCTGTATGAAAATGCGAATTGACGTCACTTACCGCGCCATTCGGTTGGCCCGCGATACTGCTGACGTTTACAACTTCGCCTTTATTCTCCGCCAAATGTGGAAATGCCAGTTGGCAGAGCCGCAGGATGCTGAATGACGTAAGTGGTTGGCTTCCTCGAAAGGCCAAATTCACCTTCTACCTCTTGGTATTCAAATTAAGCGTATGCTCAAAATTGCTAATATCGCCTTCGGGGCCTGGCTTTTCGTAATCACTGTTGGTTCCGCCGGCATTGTTCACCTGCAAAAGAGAATAAATTGTAAATAAATCGCTGCGCTGTACAGGTTTGATTCCAAACAGTGCTCTCTTAAACTCCGTAAATGAAAACTTATGAAAAATTTAATCAAGAATGAAGCCAAGTCAATTCGCTGAAATTGAACCAGTCTGGGAGCACGGGAACCACTGGCTCCACTAAAAGCTCAACTGGTGGAAATGATCCAGTACCTATTCAGTTGTGCTCATGACCCCGAACATAAGTCAGATGGTTGGCGCCTCGCCAGCAATTTAAAGGTAAGATTCAGGACTAAATTGATTAGGTAATTCCACTCAAATGTGAAAGTAGGGGGGGAGGTGGACCGCCAGTGGAGAAAAAAGGAAAAAAAATCGTGAAATACACAGGAAATACGAGCCTTTTGCTCTACGCTGCGGAGAAGTTCAAAAGGCCGGCAGGGAGATGAGAGATAATGTGAGCGCGGAGAGCGGTAGAGAAGTCCGAGAAGAGAGAGCATAGCAGATCAACGTTGCGACGCAGACAAGATATCGACGGTGGGCGGACCATGTTAAGTTTGGTGGTCTGTTAGAAGTCCATAGCGCCTAGGGTCTTAGTGACGCGTTTCGATGTAGAAAGGTGGCGCTACCTTTGCACTTGCGTACCTAGCACTTCTAGCCATGGTAAGGGCTTGTTAAGTGGGTCTGAGCCCGAACTTTGCCTTTAATCACCATATTTACAAACAAGGACTCACCAAGACATCCAGTCGGCCAAACGCCTTGACTGTTCCGTCGACGATTTCCATCATCACCTCTTCCTTACAAACATCCCCACGAGCGAGAAACACCTTCTTTTCATCGCTGCCATTTACCGCCAGTACCATCGATTTTGTTTCCTCAAATAATTAACTCCTATTTTTTGAAAATGTTTCCTTCATCTAAACGATTATTCAAGACCAACGTTCAGTGTTTTCTCATCTCTTCCACAAATCGTCACCATGGCTCCTTCTTTTGCGAACAGCACTGCGGTAGCACGACCGATCCCATTGGACGAGCCTTAAAGAAATTGATGCGCAAAGATACTAGCAGCGGGAGTAATGGGCAAAATTGTGCTCCCAACTTCTTCTTCGGATAGCTAAAAACAGTTGAAGAAATTGCACGCACCAGTGACGATAACCGCACGATTGTCAAATTGACCCATATCGGTTGCTCAAACTTGAACCTTAAATAACCTTTTCTGTAAGTCATTTTAAGGATTATGCGACGCTCATCCCAACCAACAGTGAAAGTTTCTGAATGAGGATTCATGATAAGGTAGGAACTTGAGGAAGAGAAAAGGCAGGCAGGCACTCCAAGGGTGGAGGACGAACGTATGCCTGTAGCGGCATAGCAGGGCCATACCGACGACGCTGTCAGCCCCTCGCCATCGGGCTCTAGGCACGGATACTAAGCGCTAAGCAAAGGTGCAAAGCAGAGCATTCACACTAATGACGTCAATACAATGGTAGTCGCCTCAGTGGGGAAATCTACGGGAAGGAAACCCTACTTTTCGGATCCTAGGGCGTTGTTCTTGGGTTTTTCTTGATAGTGTGCGAAAATACAGCTA